AATAAGAACTCAAACAACAATTTAATGATATAGAAATATACTTATACAAATCTAGACATTACCAATAGTCTTTTATTAATAAAACTAAACAATTGTTTAATTTTTTGTTGTTGTGAAGAGCACATGTTTAGTTATTAAGCTGAATATACATTTGTTTATGAGCATAAGAGGAGTAGGGATATGATTAGGGAGAATCTTGGTGGCATACACATTATATATCAGCACAAACTTGAAGAGATGCTCGAAGCAAACCAACATCGGACAATTCAGAAGTTCTGCCACCAACCCAATCAAATACAGCATGTGAAAAACAAAACCAAGACCACATAGATTTGCAGAGATAAAACTTAAGTTTTAACATAAATACTTTCAAAAATAAAAGTTAAAATTACCTTGTGACATAGTAATAGGCTAATATAATTAGGAATCTACCTAATAGATATTTAGGAATCTGCCTAATATCTATTTAGGAATACTTTGTATTTTGACAACTCTTCTATTATAAATATATCTGTCAGGACTCCTATTGGAGTACCTCTTTCCCATTATTTCACATGGTATCAAGAGCTCTAGGTTTGTAGATACAATTTTTTTTTCTTTTTTTCGGTCCCCATGAACCTTATTATAGCCGCCGCCGCCTCGGGGTCGACTACCGCCACATTTACGGTAGTCTCCGATCCTTTGAAGATGAGCGCGGCTAATATGGCGTAGATCACCTCCTTCGCGTCGCTGAACACGGTGCTTGCTTCCAGCATGCCGTTGAGTTCGCCGCCTGCTGCTGCCTATGTCCGGCAGCCCACCTTCTCTGCGTCGCTGACCACGGTGCTTGCTTCAAGCGCGCTGTTGAGTTCGCCGCTTGCTGCTGCAGACATATATTCTCATGGAGATCTTATTGTCAAAGATGTGCTTTCTAATCTTCCGCTCACGGATATATTTACTAAGAGTTTTTTTTTAGTTTGCAATTTTATTTTTTTAAAAGACAACCTGCGCGTTGTATCTCCCGCACAGTTTGAGGGGGTGTAATAGGCTAATATAATTAGGAATCTACCTAATAGATATTTAGGAATCTGCCTAATATCTATTTAGGAATACTTTGTATTTTGACAACTCTTCTATTATAAATATATCTGTCAGGACTCCTATTGGAGTACCTCTTTCCCATTATTTCACACATAGAACATTCTGAAAGTTTAGCCACCAATGCAATGATCACCCTAAGTAAAAGTAGCTTAGCCATTAAAAAGGGGGGTTGTATTATAGGAAGAAAATTCAAAAATAATTAAATGAAGATTGTACTATGCTATCAAGCAATGGATATTTAGACTCAAGGGAAAATGCTGATATATATAAGACTAAATATGGTTTATTCCCCAAATAGGACTGGTTAGTCCTGTTAAATGAATAAGTTGAGTAAAACCTCCAGAAATAGGAGTGAATGGGTCCTATTTTGGGAATAAAACAAAGAAGTCTTAGTTATGAACTTAATCTTTTGTTTGGTTCTATTTATGAAGTTTTCTCAAAATTTAAAAGTAATTAAAAAAAGATTGCACTTTGCTATATAGCAATAGTCCAATAGATATATTAGACTTGGGGGGAAATGCAGTTCAAATTGGTTGGGTTTAAGCAAGGGGATATATAGAACTACTTAAATAGGATGAACATTATTATTTCCAAACATGTCAAAACTTGCACCCCTAAAATGTAGAGCATCTGCTGCAACAAATAAAAAATTCAATAGGTAAAAGCTTATCCTAAAAAATTTTGTAACATAGTAGAGAATCACACAAAAGAACTAATCATCATATTTAAAGTTTTAACTTTTAAAAATTGGAAATGCTAATCCAACTAATAGCAGTTTAGAAACATGTGATAGATTGATAGAAACATGTGAGTCCATTATAAATACATGTATGTTCAAGGTGAAATGTTAGCCTCATTTAAATCCATTCTTGATCATTTTTTACTTTTTTAAATGTGAAATAATTAGAATGGACGCGATATTAATTCTAATTTAAGGATATATTTTTCTTCTAAGTTTAATTTGAATACTAGTAGCCATTTTCATATTTCGCATTAACAACTTGACATACCCGAAACAATCACATTTATATTCAAATGTAAGTGTGGTGTACATGACAAATAAAGGTATGTTTGATTAAATATGGACTTAGTGCAAAATCAGTATATCATTGATAGGCACAATAATTTTTTTATTCCTTTTTTATTTTTTAATCTCGGTGGGCAAACCACCAAAATCAGTGAGGTAAATGTCAGGGAACATCTACTAAATTTTATTAAATAAGAAAGTTATTATAAAAAAGTGAGGGAGAGTATACCAATAGGCACAATAATTATCTATGCTTTATAAAAGTAATTATAGTAATCTGTTCTGGAAAAGGAGAGCAAATAAGGTAAACAAATCCAAGATGTGTCGGAAACATGAAATATGCTAAAAATGAAGTCGCAAGTCAAAAGGAAAAAAATTTGGCACTTTTGGGTCAACCATCGAAGCAAAAAAGCACTGGAAAACAATGTCTTCGCGATAAGAAAGCAGACGATGGCATAATAAGACCCTGCCGGCGCCGGTCAGGCATCGTATCCAATTAATCGATTCCAGTCCCACCATCCAACTGAGGACGATCACTTGTTAATTATGAAGAAAGAGGCCGAAAACAACCTCCAATCGGCACCGAACATGCCCAACCAACGCTAGTCATGCCTGAATTCGCAGAAAATTAGCTAACATATAAGATATTTTTGTATTAAAATAAAGATATTTGGAAGGTGTGGCTAAGAAATTTCACACCAAATCTGATTAGGATCATGAATAGATCATCAAACATCATTTACAAAGCCTATATAAACCCTCCAATCCAGCCTAAACGAATTATTCAATCCATTAGTTATATTCGGGTTTTTATATTTGTTCTTTGTTCTTCATGGTGTTCTTGAGATGTGAAAGCTCACCTCTTCTAACCCTTGATGTTCACGTCATATCTTTTGCATTTCCATATTCTTCTATAAAATGAAAGCTCACCTCCATATTTATAACAAGGTAGTTTCTATGGTACCCATAAGGTACCACACCTTTGTCCACATGGACCAATGAAAAGGTAGTAGTTGAATTATTTAAATCTAAATTAAAATTGATAAAGTGATGTGGTCCAATCAAATGAATGCTAGGTACGGTACCCCTGTTTTTAGAAAGGTACCGGAGTTGTCACCTTATAACAATCACAAGAAAATTTCAAATGAAAGGTTGTTTTGTTACATATTTTTTTGGTTCAAATGTAGGATTAACTAAGAATGGACACACACACGCATGCACGCACGCACACACGCACCCACCCATGCACGCACATGACCACGCCCACACACACGCACACACCCACACCCACCCACCCACCCACCCATGCATACATACATGCATACATGCATACATGATAGTATAGAATTGTTATGGTTTATATTTGTAATTTTAACTAGTTTTATTTATTGTTGTTTGAGAAATTGCACACTTTTGGTGTAATACTTTATTTTTCCTAGTTTATTGTAATTTATTAGTTTTAGATCTTAAGCTTGAATAAATTAGTCTACAACAAAGGAGCATGGAAGATATCTTATAAGATCAAAGGAAGGTGCAAGGGAGCAAGAAATCGTGCAAAAAATGTGATTTGGTGACTTACCCGGTCGGGTATGGCATTTACCCGGTCGGGTATGAGGTGAAAAACGAAGCTTCTGGGAAGTTTTATCAAATACCCGGTCGGGTAAGAAGTGACTTGCGACAAAAAGACGTGCTGCAGAACAAAAGAACATGGGAAAAAGATATGATTTGATAAATACCCGGGCGGGTATCTCAAATACCCGGCCGGGTATCCGCCGCAGCACCTTCAAAACACCTATAAATAGCCCCATTTTCCTTCACTTTTAATAACTCCTTCTTCCATACTCTTAAGCTCAGTTTAGAATAGTATTTCTTTTATATTTTTATAGCATGTTTAGTCTCCAAATGAGGAGCTAAACTTCCATTTCTTGGTATTGCTCTTGAAGCTTGTTGATTATTAAAGTTGTGAGTTATTTTCTTAACTTCTTTCCTTGAATATTAATTCTTCCTTTAAATACTATTTCTATATCAATGTTGGGGAGTGTTACTAAGATGACAATTAGTTAACATCTTGACATTGGTCTTAGTAATAGCTATTCTTTCCTCTATGTTAATATTGGGGAGTGTTACTAAGATGACAATTAGTTAATATCTTGATATTAACTATAGTAGGATTCATTTTCTTTAATATTCTTCCTTGAGTATTAATTAATTCCTATTTATATTTCATATTGATATTTTGAACATTACTTAAAGGATCAACTAGTTTTGTTTCATATATTAATTATTACTAGAAACGATCAACGAACCGATGGTTAATCGTTGATAGTTTCACAAGTAAGTAACTTCAGTTTATTAATGCACGGTCGTGGTTAATAAACTTAAGAGGGATTAATTTTGTTGGTTAAACCGAAACCGTTGTGTTAAGGTTATCAATCTCAATTGATTTCATCAAGGAATTAAAAGATTAAATGCTACTATCAAGTCAGTATATGGCGTTGTTCTATACTTGACTAATAGTAAGGGTTATTAATGAACGGTCGTTGTTAATAACTATCCTCGATGAATTGGATATACTCCTCGATTGAGTATTCGAGAGGAGATAAGTTATAGATATAACAATGATCGACTAAAATATATCAACAAGTGGAAAGTAGCAATGCCAAGTCCCTTTTATCTTTGAATTAAAACTCATATAACTCGTTCATCTTTGTGTTTAATTTTAATTAAATCACTCAATCAAAACCCCCCCTTTATTTACTAGTTACATAAAAAGAAAGTTATTCATTTCCCTGTGGATACGAACTCTACTACACTATACTATGTATTAGTGCTAGTATTGAAATTATTTTGAGTGCACACACGACAGAGTGCACGTCAATACACACATACATGCATACATGCATACACACAGACACACAGACACACAGACACACATACACACACACACACATACATACCTACCTACCTACGTACACATGTGCGCGCCCACACACACACACACACACGCGCGCGCGCGCGCGCGCACGCACGCACACACGCACATGCACGCGCGCGCACACACACACACATGAATATCTAATTATTACTTAAGTAGTGCATCTTTGATCAAGGAAATAGTTTTACAAACAAGTCCACGTACAATCAATACTGACTCTGGTGGAAGATAATCAACGGAAGAGATCTTCTCATCCAATATCTGAAATGAGATGGTCAGAATACTTCCACCACTTGGGACAACATTCTCTTGTTGTGTGGGTTGTAAGTAGTGACTACCACTTGAAGTACCATCAATTACAACAGCAACATCAGGAAGAATAGCAAATCCAGAAGGCATTATCTTAACATGATCCACACCATCTTTCCCGTTGTCTAGTAAGTAGCACACAGAGTCCATATCCACTGGCGCATAAACCACGTACATTGCCACCGAATCTGTATAGCTCTCTTGCAGGTAAATCTTTGTTGCTTCAACCACATTCTTATCTCTTGCTGGAGACTAATGTCACACATGCATATATGTAGTGTTAAAGATTTTAAGTGCAATAATATTTTCAATAATATTTCTAGAGTTTTAGTCGGCTAGACGTTTAAAAGAGCTCAAAATGCTGCTTACAAGATGTTCAGTTTGAATCATGGCATAAGTGATACTAAAACTTATAATATTGATGCATTTTTGTATCTCAATTATTAAATAAACAAACAACCACCATAAGTATATTAAAATATTCCAATCTATGGTATTGCTTAACCTAACATTTGATTTAATGTACTTGACATAATTGTTCATTTCAGCTCTATAATTTTACATAAAAATTATATGCAATCTATTAATTAACTACTTACAAGTTCAAAACGTAGTTAGGCAGGGGTTGTATAGCCCAGTATAATTAAAAACTTCATGTACCTATTAATTTAGTCATTGCCAAATTAAATGGTATCAATTTTCTTCATTCAATAGTGGTGTTATCAAAATGCATGAATATCAATAATTATGATACCATTTAAACATTACCCCCCCCTTCAGATAAGGAATTTTAAGGTTGAAGTGAAACTAACGAAAAATTCTATATCTAATTGATTGCAAAAACATCAAGCCAAATCAAGACAATTTCTAAATGGTTTAAACAAGTCATATTTACCTCAACTATAAGAAGTGAAATAGAATTTGCAGGATCTCGGGAAGAATATATGTTCACATCGTCCCGAATATTAGAGTCAATGGACAATATATCCCACTGCAATAAATTATATCTCATGTTAATCATATACATACATACATACATACATACATACATACATACATACATACATACATACATACATACATACATACATACATACATACATACATACATACATACATACATACATACATACATACATACATACATACATACATACATACATACATACATACATACATACATACATACATACATACATACATACATACATACATACATACATACATACATACATACATACATACATACATACATATATGTATATATATTGAACCAATAAATATGTCGTACCAATCTTCTAGATTAATTTCTTTAAACTATTACTTTAATCAGCTTGTTAAAACTCAAGTAACTAGATTTATCCTTGATCAGAAAACAAGAGGGACCCTTAATAGATCTTCTAGATTAAAATGGTTTAATTAAATGAGTTATAATTACAATGAAAAGGCTATTTGTGAAATTACAAGTGTATTACATTCATTGGAACTTCTCAGATTAATAGGAAAGGTAGAACTCGCGTAAAAATAAAAACTCATTAGACACAAAGTACTACTCCTTTTACTCATTCATATCATTGTCTCACTTAACAACGCCACATAAACTCCCCATCCCATAACCACCTCAATTCACACCCTACCTCATGCTCAACATTTAGAACTTAGAAAGTTACTCATTATGGAATCAACTACTTAATGACCACTGTTGACCACTATTTTCCATGCACCATCGCACCGCAAGTTATGTTGACTGATTAGGGATTCAGTGACTCATACAACTCACATAATACTTTATCTTTGAACCAGAAGTCATGGCTCACGTTGGTTTATGACCCTATTTAACAGTTCGGTAAATAAATTGTAGAATATATGAGCAATTGGATAGAAAATTTAAGGCTACAATAAAATAAATTGTACTCACATGAAAATAAATATGCTCATATTTTTTTAAAAAATGATCCATAAAATCCACACAGTCAATATAAGAGGTGAAAGAAAATTGTGTTGACACTAAAATTTATTGAGCTAGTATATATATTATGTACAAGGTCTAATACACCTAGAAGTTTAAGAAGCCATGCACATGTAATGAGTATGACAAGCTTACAGGGAAGTGAATCAATACAAATTGCTTCAAAATCTTATTCAAATTCAATGTAGTACATATGTGAGCATGCACAATGAATACATCAGATCTATTCTTTTTATGAGCAAACATCGTGTTTCTTGTCTTGTTTTTTTCGTTCCATAATATGCATATTCACAAGTAATGATAGATAACGATCATATTATTTAAAACTTGTGATGAAAATGTATTTTATTGCACAACTACATTCATCTTAATAAGACGTTCAGCTTGGCTCCAACTTCCAAGTGAATGCCATATCAAAATGATTTTTTGGTAAAATAGCGAGATGTGGGTAACAGTCATAAAATGCTAGGTTAAGAGATAATTGAGCAGATGCCATTAAATATAAATCCAAGAACAGCACTATCAATTTACAGACTCATATCATAAACTCAGATCCGGCTATATCCCCAATTAGGCCAGGCATATGCCTAGGGCCTCATATTTTCCAGGGGCCTCAAAATTAAAATTATTAGTATTATGAATAATTAGAAATTAAAAGACCCGTCAATCTCCAATTCCACTTCAAACACCGAAAAAACCATTACTATAAATTCCCAAATCCCTTCCCATTCTCAAATCTTAATGCGTCGTGACTCGCTGAAGTTAAGCCAGCTGCCAAATGATAAATATATGATATATATACTATACTATACTATACTATACTATACTATACTATACTATACTATACTATACTATACTATACTATACTATACTATACTATACTATACTATACTATACTATACTATACTATACTATACTATACTATACTATACTATACTATACTATACTATACTATACTATACTATACTATACTATTGGTACACGAGTTGGACGACCTGGATTACATTCAAAAAGGGGTTGACCATGGCAATTAATGACACATTCATTGGGATTAATGCTAGCTAATTAAATCTGGGCGGTTTTATGTATATAATTAGAGTAGTTATTGTAATTATGACATAGGTTACTCAAAGGGCTGACCAGAATTGATGATGCAATAATGACGATATTGATGTCGTCGTAACGGTCGGGACATGTCGTCGTAACGGTCGGGACATGTCGTCAACGGACAAAAGTGCATTAAATGCATCTCTTATAAATAGCTAGAGGCTCTATGTAATCAGCACCTGGATACACGAATACACATACACTCAGTTTCGAATATACGTAAAAGAGCTCTCATATACTCTCTATTGAAGTTCATAGCTATTCGTATTACATTCAAATTATCGATTATAGATAAATCCATTTATTTGATCTCGTCAATCACACTTATTCGATCTTATTTGCTTGATTCCCAACTCAATTCCATATATATTTTAGATTAGTTTATTTTGGCATAAACATATACTATACTATACTATACTATACTATACTATACTATACTATACTATACTATACTATACTATACTATACTATACTATACTATACTATACTATACTATACTATACTATACTATACTATACTATACTATACTATACTATACTATACTATACTATACTATACTATACTATACTATACTATACTATACTATACTATACTATACTATACTATACTATACTATACTATACTATACTATAGTAACTATACTATACTATACTATACTATACTATACTATACTATACTATACTATACTATACTATACTATACTATACTATACTATACTATACTATACTATACTATACTATACTATACTATACTATACTATACTATACTATACTATACTATACTATACTATACTATAGTAAACTTGATTTAAAAAACAATGATGTGTCAGCTTCTTATTGGATAATGCAAATTCTATTATCATCACAATTAAAACAATTAATTAATTCAATGTCCAGTACACTTAAAAATCGTGCACTACGGCTGAGATTTAGATCAATAGTAGGAGAAAAAATCTCTCTATTTTAAAGTGATATAACTTTTATATTTATAATTCAATATTTACAAAATATATATCAAAATTCATAACTTTTAAAAACTTTCATATGACACCAATATTAAATATATAAAAATATCTATTATTTTATGTGGCAAAACTAAGTTAAAATTCTATTGATTAATAAAAATTATATTATGACTACTACTAAAACATTTAATGCATATAATTTTGACTCGATTCATCTTTGTTATTCACTACATGCAGAAATGCTCATTCTGAGAAAGGGAAGGAGAAAAAAATCTTATTTTAATGTATTATAACTTATTTATCTGTACTCCAATTTTTACAAACATATACATCAAAATTTAAAACTTTTTATGATCTTTCACATGACACAAATTTTACAAAAAGTACACCAAAAATCATAAAGTTTTATGATCTTTCATATGACACCAAATTGTTACAAAAATTATTGTAAAAATTGAGTTTTTTTGGGCAAGTAAAAATTGAGTTATAAATCAATAATATATAAAATTCATAGCGTATTTGAGTTTAAATGTGCATTATGGAAGTGCACATTTACATAGCAGTCGTGACACATATTAGGAATCCAATTTTCATTATATATTTAAATATATTGTTTTATTTAGTAAAGTGAGGTTACAAACTGGTGACATGTCACTCTGTTATTGATTAATGAAAAATATATTGCCATTATTATGAAAACATTTAATTAGTTCCAAACAAAAAGGAGATGGAATAACTATAATGGAAAAGGGAGGGAAAATGTTAAATAACTAACACTTGACATTATGTAGACTCCACATATTAAATCATTTAATTAATTCGTACAAAGATGGAACGGCTAATGGAAAAGTCTAGAGAAAAAGTAGGACAAAAAAATGTAAAAAAATGTTACTCTTATTCTTATTCTTATTGTTTACTCCGTATTATTTATTCTTTTTTTATTCAGACAAGTTTAGATAAAAAGTCAAATCATATTACCCCAAAACATTCAATCTAGATCAGATTAAATCAGAAAAAATCATATCAGATCAAAAAAAATTGAAATCAGAAAGGTTCATACATAATTTATTATTTTTACTATTATGATGATTATCTAAATATTTTTTTAGATTATCTAAATATTTTTGTAGGTTATTATTGTACGTTGCTTCCATACTATAGTATACTATATTATATCATATTATATCATATTATATCATACTCCCTCCTTCCCTATTTATTTAGCCAAACACTATTTTTCAAGTCAAAGTTGTTCAACTTTGAACGATTATTATCATTATATATTTATACACGGTAATATTGATAATATGAAATTTATATGAAAAATTTCTTTGTTGAAAATATTATCATAAAAGTATAAATTTATTAACTTTTACATAAATATATTAATTAAAATAATGGATCAAAGTTTATCATCTTTGACTAGAAAAGTCAAAGTTGGTCTAAATAAAAAGGGACGGGGGTAGTATTATATTACGGAGTATATTATACTATATGAAAAAATTCGACTAATATTACTCTTGGGAAAGTGGTGGACAAAAATGTGACTTGGTAACTTTTAGTGATTATAGTTGCTTCCATAGTTACTCTAATGTAATGACTACGATAGAAATTTTGAATCAATTATAGTCATCAAAAGTTACCAAGTTCCATTTTTGTTCATGACTTTTTTTCTTAGTAATATTTTAGGGAAAAAAACCCATGTCATATTATGAGCAATAACTAGTTAGTGAAGAAATCTGAAAGTTGATAAATTAGTTAGTTAAAACTTAAAAGACATAAATTGTGGGAGCAATAACTAGGATGAACAAAAATAGCAAATTTGCCTTAATTATGTTAACCGAAAGGAAGGAATGATATTACCAGATTGCGGTTACTTCCACTTCTTAGAAAGTTAAACAAGCGGTCGTGAGGAACGGGCAAGTAAAGTGATGTAGATATAGTTAGTGCAACGCCAAGAGAAAGGCCTGTTGCATCCAAGATGTTGTTGCCTCTTCTCACATAGATATCACCTGAAGTGGCGGGTAACACCATCCGTGGATCATCTTTGTTGTTCATCACATTTCGAGCATAGTGCTTCATCATCCTTTGTGCTAGCTTCAACATGTTTTTATTTCCGATGCCTAGCCCTTTACATACACATTAATTACATCAAAGACATTACTTATTAATTCCTCCGTATTATATATAGGCATATATTCCATATATGTATAATTATATACTTCCGCCGTTCTTTAATTCTTGCAACATTGTGATTTTTGCACTATTCACATACTTTACTTTGACCACGATTTTCTACTAATATACATAATCAAATGATTACGCATAAAATGTTATTGAATTCCTATCAATGTGAATTTCCAAAATATCAACATTTTATAATGTTTACTAATACATAATTAAATATAATTACAGTCAAAGTTGTGCGTTATCAAACGTGAAAGTCAAACTGTTGCAAGAATTAAAGAACGGGGGAATGGAGGATGGTATGGTATGATACATGAGTTTGGTTCCAATGAGAACGGTGTTTAAAGTGATGACACTCGCTTTTATCCAAATTAATGCATTATGAGGCTACTGGAATACACTTTTCTAACTGTGTGCAAAACATGTAGATTCAAATATATGTTGTGGCAGTTTCGTAGCAATATGCGTTGTGTTTTCAATAAACCTCAAAAGGAATTTTATCGATTCAGTACCCGAAAGATAGATTAATTATCAATTCAGGACCCGAAAGATGAAACGTATCAGTATAGGATCCGAATGATGAAAAACTATCAATTTAGGACCTAATATTTCATAGGTTTTGATTTATTTAATTTTTTATTAAATCCATTACTAATTTTTGATAAACTTTGCTTCACAAAAGTTTATTAGTTTAATAAAACTAATTAATATTTAAAATTTTTAAAATAAAAATAATAATTAAATTCACGACATCTTAGGTCCTAGATTGATAGTTTCCAATCATGCAGGTCCAAATTGATAGTTTTTCATCATTCGGGTCCTATATTGATGCATTTCATCTTTCAGGTCCCGGATTGATAATCCGTCTATCTTTCGGATCCTGAATTGATAAAATTCCAATTCAAAAAGATTATATAAATTGCAACTAATCATATACGCAGTGGCGGCCCCAACATTTTTTCTAAGGGGGATGTACATGAGCTAGGTTGAGTCGGGTCGGGTCAGGTTGGATCGAGGCAAAAGGGCTTCATATAATCATTTCAAGTTGTTCGGGTGCAGAGAATTTGTTCACATCCCTTAAGACGAGCGAGCAAAGCTTGACGCGAAGATGAAGGAGTGTATCTACCTTCGCTCACCCAAGGATGCGCGAATTCGGCTACCGGCGCGGCTATCGGATCGAATCAATAAGAAGGTTGTCCTTAGCAGAGATGTCGTCTTTTTCGAAGACCAAACAATTGAAGACATTAAAAACTCGGAGAAGCAAAACATGAGAAGTAGCAAGATCACCGAACTTACTCCAGTTCGACATGAGGATGACACACCTCAAGAGAGGATTTACTTCAGCACAATAATATTTTTTCATAGCTGCTTCTACAACACCTTACTCTAAACATTCATCTGGGAGTTAATACTACTTAACCGGATCATAAGCGGGGGCATTAGTCTAATACGTGTTTTCTTTGTTCCTTAATAGTTTGACTGCAATCCTATACTAATATATATAATCAAATTATTATGTACAAAATGTTACGGAGTATTAAATATCTAATAATTTGAATTTTCAAAATGTTAACTTTTTAAATTATAATGTTTGCTAATATGTAATTAAATATTTAATTACAGTCAAAGTTGGTTGTTGTCAGATGTGAAAATCAAACAGTTGCAACTATTAAAGAACGAACGATAGCATGTACTACTACAGATTTTTGGGATCAGAAGTGTCGCTTACCGCCCATGCCCCATATGTCTAAATTACTCGTGTTTCTAACGTTTGTAATAAAAATGAGAACCCTCACTTTTGCTAGTTCTCAAATTAAAACTTGGTCTGTTGTTCCCAAATCAAACATGCAACTAGCTAGCAGCCTCAAGCTGGGGTGGTCAAGCTTGAAAACACAGAGTGAGTGAGTATTTTAATTAAGAAAACAATGATGGTTCTATTTGTGCATTTTGCGTTTAGTTAAGATATTTTGTGTACTACTGTATTTTGTGTAAAACTTTCCATTTTGTGTAAAACTGGAAAAGACTAAAGCTTGATCTCACCATTAGGCGCAGGTGGCTGTTGAAAATGGTAGCCATTATAATTATTATTATCTCCTTGCCCCTCCAAAGCCACAATCTTGTCATAATACCTCTCCAATGCAGATATCCATCGGTTTGCGCTAAACGGAAAATTGGAAGTGAGTAAGCTTCCGAACATGTTTTGAACAAAAGTACCATGATCATGTACCGCACTGCATGTTGTCTACCCAAGTCACCTACATGTGAATGAAAAGGTTTGTTCATTTACAAGAAAGAAAACTTATTATGTAAATGTGTGAGACCTAATCACCTAATTATATTAGATGTCGGCTTGCCCCCGGACTTGGATATGTACGTAGTACTCACTATTTATTTGGATAATGTTGAAGTATTTTTCTCACACCAATATTATTATATACTAGCTCCGGTATTATGGAGTACGTATAAAATAAATACTAGCTAGGTCTATAATATTTAATTAATATTTGGGGCTGGGGCTAATCAAGTGTATGCATGCTATACCATAGACACTCCGGGGTGAAGTTCTTGGATTAAACAGCCAGAGGGTCTTCTTCTTGTAGGGTGAGATGATATTGCGCCGGCGCCGGGAAACACAGTTTCCAGGGAAAAATCAACTACCACCCAAGTCTTATAGCCTGTTTCTCTGCACATTCTTGCAAATTTGACCTCTCCACCCCTAAACAGTGGTGAAGGAAGATAAAACTCCGCAGTCATCTTCATTACATAGGTCGGTTAATTGCATGCATGGCATCGAAAAAGGACACAAGTTAAGAACAAATTAGTCATTGTATGTAAAAAAACAAATGTAATAATAATCTGTACGTATATATGCGCACTCATGCATGCATGCATCTAAAATCTGTTAACACCTTATACTTGTTGATCAATTGAAATGTTAATTAGAGTTTGTTTATACCTTCAACATAAACACGTGGTGAAATAATAAAATGTAGAGAAATGGTTGGAAATAGGACTAAAAAAAACTCGTAAGTAACTAAATAGGACTTCAATGAATTTAATACCTAAATAGGACTACTTTTCCCATATCTTCCAAATTTGCCCTTTGTACTACTAGTATTATTTTCGTATCCTCCTTTATCTCCTTTCTGGTATGTGCCCAGCGAACTCCCAACGATGCCTCTCTATCATCGTGAGGAAGATGAGCGTGTACTGCAAATAGAGATCAGACACAACGAAGAAGATGCACGCACGAAGACGAGGCAACAGGTCATGGCGATTCGGTGACGCGGCGATGGCTTAACGGCGTCAGCACCGGTGAATGGCGGCACGGCGTCAGCGTTGGCCATCGGTGGATAGCGGCAGAAATTCCTTCTTCATCTCTTCTTTTCTCCTCTATTCTTCCGATCCGCAACCTGGTAGCTTTTCTTTTGTCGATATGGTAGTTATTTTTTGTGGATCTGGTAACTTGATTTTTCGGATCCTGTAGCCATGAACCGTAAGCTAGCCTTCTCTTTTCTATTGTTTCAGCGAGCTGTAGCCTTTTAAAAGTTGAACTTGTAACCTTTTTTTTTTTGCTTTTTTAATTTTTATGTTAATTTGTTAAATTATTACACCAAATTCATCTTATGGGGAATGATGATTTAGATTGTCACTCTTGTTTTATTTTATTGATACTTTATACCGAGTATTTATTTTCAAAAAGTCAAGAATGTCAATCATTATATTTATACTCCGTACTTTATATTGAAAATAAATATAAAATATAAATTGATGAATGTGATTATGTGATTTGGCTTTGTCTTACAAACGTTGCATCTACTGAAAATAAAAAATTATATTTTATAGCTTAGGCATTAGCTTTAACACTGTCATTTTCATAATGATTGACATTCTTATGACATTATCATTAACATTTTTATGACATTGTCATCGAGATTAATTGACATTTCAACATTTTTTCAACGTTATGATTTTTTAAAAAACATAAAATTAACATTGTCACAATAGTTATTAACATTGTCATAATGATTGACATTTTTATGACATTGTCATTGACATTCTTTATGACATTATCATTGACATTCTTTATGACATTATCATTGACATTTTTATGACATTGTAATCATGACTAATTGACATTACTTCGACATTGTGACTTTTTTAAAAAACATAAAATTAACATTGTCATAATAGCTATTAACATATTGTCATAATTACAATGTCATTTTATACCATCGAAAATGACATTGCCATTGTGACCTTTTCATAATCCAGTGACATTTTTATACATTGACATTTTTATACATTGACATTTTTATAACATTGTCATTAACATTGCTTTTGTGTCAAGATATATCATTGTAATTCCATGACACTAGTTAAGTACAAAAAACAACTTCATAACATTGATATTGTTTCTCATTTTATGTCATAATGTTGTCACCAACTTCAAAATGTCACACTATCACAATTTCATAAAAAACAATGTCATTTTTAGACAAGGGCATATTATTAATATGACAATGTCACATGATAATTTCACAATGTTATTACATAATGTCACATGACAACACATTTCAGGGTATCACAATGTCATTATAATAATTAATGTAATTTAATTTCATTTCATTGTAACAAATAATTTAATACAAAAAATCTAGCAAAATAAGGACAATGTTATTAATATAGACATTGTTTATCATTCTACTATATCAATGAAAAAAATTCAGAATAAATAAATAATGAAATACGGAGTAGTTTCCATTTATTAGATAACTCTACAAAATTAAATTAAAAAAATAGAAAATAGAACTAACTAAGCAATGGAAAATTAATACTACGTCAAAAAAAATCAACACAGAACATGTCGGTCAAGTAATTCCGGCATAGTTGCCGGACCAAAGTGGACTCTGAACTCTCTGTCAGTCGAGTTAAAGTTCAATCAAGGGAAAGTAGCTCTCACGAGCCTCTCCAGCATCGTCTCCGAAACGAAGAGAGCTCAAGTGGGAGAAGAAGAACGTATTCTCCGCAAATCCATGTCGGAATGACGTAGAATCGAGTGAACCGCCGGCAGAGGCGGATCCAGGAATCTGAGATGCCCTGGGCTGAATAGGATTTATACTAGGCTTAAATATTAGAGAGGTGTGCTAAATGTGAAAAATGAAAAAATTTATACTAAAAAAATTGAAAAATTTCTAAGTTGACATGGGCTTCAGCCTACCATAGCCCGTACATAGATCCTCCCCTGACCGCCGGCCACCGCGAATATTGAACATGGAAAACCAGAGACAAATTGCAAACATGAATTTTCGCCAACATGAATTTGCATCCACCAGATTTACGGAAATAAGACGAGTCAAGAACAACGCCTTATAGAGTTGAGGCCTTGCGGAAATAGAACCAAATTTGAAATCGATTGTAGGAATTGAGAGTTGAGGGCTAGGCGGCCACCGGCTGTCTCGAGAGTATGAAGGTCGCATCCCCTGCTGCCTGCTGGTGATTTGGTGCCTTGCCGGCAGTACCAACCCGGCCCACTAGGTCTCGCACCACAGATGACCACTCAAGGCTAGGGCTGGCAATATCACCCGCACCCGCGGATACCCGGTCAACCCGAACCGAAAATATGGATGAAAACCCGAAGAAGTATGGATGAAAAATGGATGACGGGTGGATCGAAAGACGGGGTGGATCGGGTGTGGATGAAGGCTCATCCAACCCATCACCCGACCCGTCACCCGTTCCATCCACCCACCCGCTGACCCGCACATAAGTATATAATATATAATATATAATATATATTATATCTATTTAATAATATATAATAATAATAATAATAATAATAATAATAATAATAATAATAAAATAATAATAATAATAATAGTTAATTGGTGAAACAAAGATAATTGGAGAGCTTCAAGAAGTGGCAGTTAAATAGCAAAAATAGTTTTGTGCCAATGCATAAATGCAGAATTTAACAACTTGAAGAAGTTTTATGTCTATTTTGTTTAACATTCAGGTTTTTTCTTTGTAATTGGGAGTGAATTAATGATTGTAATATACTTTATTGCTCATGTTTTTGTTGTTATTTTACAATGAATTCTTAATTTTTGGTTCTTAATTGTCATGATTTCTCTTTGTAATTTATTTATTTTGTCTCAAGTTTGAATATTTATATTTCACCCGCTACTCACCCGATCCACCCGATAATCCGTTCAAGATGGATGGGTTGGATGTGGATGTAATTTTTAATGGATGATGGACGGGTGGGTGGAGTATAAAAAATTAACGGGTGGACGTGGATGAGCCTCCACCCGGTGAAAATCCGACCCGCTGCCACCCCTACTCAAGGCCGACTCAACTAATTAGAGCATGGGGTATTTTTGTCCCTTCAGTATCAATTTAGTCCTATTTAAGAGTTAAAAAGTTGGGACTCCTATTTAAATACCACCCGCATGTTTTGGTCGTATACATGTCTTTCTCCCTAAAATGTACATGTACAAATAAATCAAATCAAATGTATTGTAGGTGAGATACTCTCAATAAATGTAATTAAGGATGGCCGGGATATTTTATTTCTGTTGTGTTTCACAATTACGTATAGTAGGTACTTACCACTTGGAGAGCTCCATTATTAGGTTTTTCCTTCTCCCAGGGGAACAGAACTTCGAGAGTGGTTGCTGTTGAAACAATATTGGAGAACACACTTGACCACTGTTCCTGCATGCACACATACCCGTCCATCACACTCTAGCTAAGTTTGTTGCATACAATATATTTGATAATATTTGGATGGTTACATTTCATTCTTACTTAACTTTATCAACTCAATATTAATCACACAATGCTACTTTTCTTAAAAACCACAACACACCCGGCCTCTTGCCCCAATCTTAGGGGGGATGAAGATAGTATATGCTCCATATATATATATCATACCCAGTATTTTTTTACGTTATTACATACACTGCAGATTTTAATTTATGTGCATCTACCGAGTATATTATTTGTGTATTTGATTAATCATTAATCTCGAAATACATTCTTATTTATATACTCCTCAATCCTGTCATAATCTTAAGAATCTGATTTTTACATTATTCGGATATTATCTTCTTTCCTTTTTAATAGCAACATATTGAATTTCGCGTTATTTACATACTCTATTTTGACTACATTTTATTTATTAATGTATGCGATTTTTAAATATCATCAAGTTGGTCTCATTACAAATTTTCAAAATCTATTTTTATAATTTCTTTTTAATAAGAGAAAATTAAATATATTGATGGTCAAAATTGTATGTTAACAAATTAAATACTAAAATTGGAGTGTTGTAAGTAGTTGTAACTATAAAGAATTGAATCTGGGGAAGTATTTAACTTTGGGCATGTTTTCTATCAAAATATACATGCAAATTTTATAACACAAAACGCTTTTAAACTTGATCATCTCGGCGTATATGTGTTTTTATTACTTTTACCAACAGATACGGAGCAATTACATATAATAATATACGAAATATTAAGTTGCAACTTGCAAATCTCAAAACTCAAATTGTCACAAGTCACAACTAAAATGAACAAATGAACTACTTCGTAATTTATGTTATTTTTCTTCTATCTTAATATTACGAAGTACATTTATGTTTGTTGGAGTATTATGCAATCTGAGAATTTCAGAATTTCAAATTGCCATGTCATGGCAGGGCAGGAATTTTAGAATTGAATTGGAGCCGAAGCACGGAACTGTTAAGTAGGCAATAACACGTTAATTTCCATTTCATAAACTCTCCAAATAGTCACTAGCATAAAAAAATGTCTATTAGCCTTCATTTCGTAACACCGTAAAAATTGCTACAATAAAATATTTATTCTCACATTATGGTACCAAGAAATGTTACAATTAAAATGATATTCTCCCAATCTCAAATTGTTTTGCAAAGTTAACATTTTGTGGTCAACTAATGTTAAAGTTAAATCATCCTTATTGATAATTAATTCAATTTTTATTAATTAAATTTACATATATAGAAACGATATTAGAATCTATTCAAAGTGGAAATTGTGTGACCAAAAAATCAATTTGCAACACCACCAATCGAATGCACTTATGCACTATGCTAAAAAATGCTATATTTGATTTATTGTGACATTTTTGACACCTATTGCAACATTTTGCTTATGCTTCCAAAGCTTAACTTTGTTGAAGTGAATTATTTTTCTACTAAAATACGCTTTTTCCCGTTTCACATTTTCCGTGGATTTCCACACTTTTATCTGCAACATGGATTGGAACCATATTATTGTTTATTGTTATAACTTGGTTCATTTTGGTTTGTGTGCGCGATTTAATAATTATTAACATTTTGGTTCATAGTTATTGTCAACGGTTCAACTTCATGTTCCTATTAAAAACTTGTTTGAGAAATTTTTAAAATACACTTATTAATAACTCCTTTATACGTAGCATATCTTTCAAGAAACCAGTACCCCACGGGTGGAGACAGGGGGAGGCTGGCGGTGGCCTTGACCCCTGCAAGAAAAAAATTGTGATGTGTGTGTGTGTATATATATATGTGTGTGTGTGTATGTGTGTATAAATATTTATAAGTAGTAAAAAATATAGTGAAAATTTAAGTTTTGACCCTTGTTATATAAATTCAAGTCATGGCACCTATAACCTCTCAATCATGGCTCCGCCACGGTACCCAATTAACATGTGAGGACCGTTAATAGTGGTGTTTCCTTGGGTTCATGCAAATGTACGTCAGTTGGCTTTAATTTACCTTTATACTTTATGATTTTATAATAATACGGAGTATCAACAACAAGAAAAGGAACTTGATATAATATGCTAGATCGACAAGAAGTGACTGAAGCATATACAACTAGACAAGACGAGACTTGATTACTTGAATCATAATGAAACAAAGTACGCACGTATCATATAGGACTTATTTAGTGGACAATTAAACCGGATGAAATGAGACCACTATTCTAAAAATCTTTCTAGACATTTCATTAATCCTCGCTTAGGCCGTGCTTGGGTGCCCCTATTTTAGTTTAGGCGTTCCGATTAATTGATTTCGCACCTAAATGAATTTGTTAGACACTTGTGACGCCTAGTTGCCCGCCCAGAGCGCTTAATCGGCCGTCTAGACAACTAAATTCGTCGAACATTTTATTTGGCTTTTTTGTTTTAGTATTTTAAGAGATATACTTCCTCCGTTCATTTTTAATTGCAATGGTCCACTTTTCACGTTTGTCGATACACAAGTTTGACCATTAATATCTTTCATTACTTATTTGTAAAAAAATAGATTTTGGAAATTTACAATGAGAAGAAATTTAAAAGCTAGTATTTTTATAAATTTTTAATTTATAATACATGAATAAATAAATTATAGTCAAAGTAGAATGTCTGAATAGTGTAAAAAGTCCAATGTTGCAATTAAAAGAGAACGGGGGTAGTTTGTAGCTTTAACTTTAACAACACATATGAAGAAAGCTACTAGTTTTAGATTAAGATAAGATGTATACATGATTATACATAATCTTGTGTTATTCTTACGGGGTATTTGATATGTAGTACGTAGTACTACCTCCGTAACGCTAGAATCTTCCCAGTTTGACTTTTTTGGATCAAACATTATGAACTTTGACCATTATTTATTCAAAACTCACATTATGTTATGATTAAAAAATTTATTTTATATAACTCATTGTAAAACATATTATTTGAATGTTAATTTATTATGAATTTTATAAATATAGATATGTAGATATTTGCAGTCAAAGTTCAACTTAGAAGACCGTGAGAAGTCAAAATGGGAAGATCTTTATGTTACGGAGGGAGTAATATTTTTAAAAAACAAAAAGAGAAGAAAGTGCTTACCGGATCCATGAACATATGGAGAAGGGTAAGCGGAGAGGCAAGAACAAGGCCGGTGGATGCTGGGAAAACGGGCGGCGTTGCGGCATTGAAGATGTCATGCTCCTGCCGCACCGCCATTTGCCTCATCAGCTCCTCGCTTGCTGACACCGCCACACGCCTCATCCCATCTTTCTCTGCGCCTATTGACACCGCCGTCAGAAGAGACTGGAAGCTCATGCCGCCGCCGCCGCAACCACCTTCTTCTTTCATCACTCCGATCGATCAGATCAATTACCCTGCGTGCATGATATGATATGCCGCCAGCTTTGGATCATCTATCTATTCTATATAGAGAGAGAGAGAGGAGATCGAGGCCTGCTCGCTAGCCCTAGCTCATTAAACTTTCAATTCCAAAAATCTCCGACTCTAGCTACTTAAATAAGATCTATCTCTCGCTATCTACTCGGATCCAAGTCATCTTAATTACTTACTTTAATCTGTTATATATATACTCCTGGCCTACCGCCTATTTGGATGGAGGGCATTGAAAGTTACGTTGTTAATAATAATGCACGTCTTATTAAGTATTGGCCAAGGTCCAGAAGAAAAACAAATTAAAGTTTGAGTGTAAAACATAAAATTGTCATTTTTGGGAGAGCTTAAGAAATGAAGAATTAATAATGCAAGTGTTTTATCTTAAATTGACAATAATGCCTTCATCTAAATCTTAAAAGAAATATAAATTCGAAGAATGAAGTTGCAATATACTATCTATCATATATTTTTGAGCCATTTTTTCTCGATCACCTGCTCGTGATCGAGAATGATCCTTTGTTGTGAGAGCCAGTAGTGCCACTCTGGTTATGGCTCCAGCCACCACGGCGTTTCTTCAATCATGTGTTCCTCAAACCTCCCCTTTGCCCGAACATAGGGAATACTTCCTCCGTCCCGAATTGAATTGCAAAATTGAGTCTTTGTAGTCAAGCATACTCATTTTTTCCACTTAATTAAGATATCAATTTTTAATTAAATTTTAATTTGGATTTTCAAACTTTATAGAGATTCTAACGTAATTTTTAAATATGTGAATTTTAATTATCAAAGTTGAAATAATTATCAATATGGAGGATTTAATTTCAACATTGGTTGACCGAAAATTGTCGACTCTGCGAAACAATTTGGGACAAAAGTAATACCACAATACATTTCTGCAGCAAATCCCCATTGCATATATATATAGATTCTTTCCATGTGCTTGGTATCAAGGCTTTAAATGAGTTTTTGTTGTTATCCTCTCTATGGCCTGTAAATTAAACGAATGATGCTTCTTGGAACCCTAATCTCCGGAGGGGTAGCGGACGTATCTTGACTTACACCATCAAGGTTGTGAAGTAAGTCTCTCGAGCTATAGCTTAAACGGCACCCATTCCAGCTGCTTTGATGAATCTCTCAGCAACACAGTTGAAGTTAAAAGACGATCTCAATGGGTGAAGAACGGAAGACGTGGATAGATGCAGAACGGAAATATGAAATGGGCAAGATTTGTCCAACACTCCAAAACGCTCCACTTACTTCACCAGTTGAGGTGTTAAAAAAAATTACTTATTGAGGGGTCAGGACTCAGGAGATCTCCCCTAACACTTTTAAACACTTACTAGCACTCCAATTCTATAACTTTTTATCTCGAATAAGACCAATACCCTTCAACACTTCTATTACTAACACCTTTCAACACTCATTTCAAACATGTTGTTAGCCTCCCTAATAAGTGAATATAATTCCTCAAAATTATAGTAAGAAATAGAGAAATTAAGGCTATGTCTGACTGTCGCCATTTGGGGCGGTTTCCGATGGAATGTTTTGATGAAATTTTTTGAGCATCTTTTTCATTAAGTCTAGTTTACTCATACCAAATTTCAGATAAAAATTCAATCGGGAAGGCAGTCAAATGAATTTTTGAAGATAATTGTGTAGTTAAACAACGCAGTACATTTCAGAAAATCATTTGACTATCTTCCCGGTTAAATTTTTATCTAAAATTTGGTATGGGTAAACTAGACTAAATGAAAAAGATGCTCAAAAAAATCATTAAAAAAATCCACCGGGAACCGCCCCTAATGACGACGGCCGGACAGAGTCGGGGTGAATTGCGGGCCGCACTTCTTAAGTTAGTTCGAAGAACTATAGGGCCAGAAATTAATGAAAAACATGTTGCAGCCGAATACCCTCTCACAAGCAGGGTTCGTCATCTGTTGATTTTCTCCGAGCAGCGAAATTGGCTTTCTTTAGCCACATTTTATTTCATTTCTAACATTCCAACAAATTGTGAGACATATTGTAAGATGTGTGCTCGAGGCATTTGTTCGTTCTTTCTTTCAAGCTTTTGCGCGCGAATAAAAGGCTTCGTTCAGTGACAACAAAGGTTATATGGATAATCAACATATATGAGTTGGTCGTGCAATATGGATGCCTGGAACTTGAAGAGGACGAGGATGGACTCGTCCTGCTTGGTGTAAGCGAGGAAGATGCACAAAGGAAAGGGCTACCTAAATGATCACTTGTTGGTACCATACATGATTACCGCAAAGGCGGTGAAGTTTGTGGTATTTAGGGATGTTTTGGCCTCCATATATAAAGAGATCTAGCAAAGCGGATTCAATTAAATAAAGAGATCAGCGTCAAAAGCTACATGTTCTTTTTTTTATCACGAAACCTGCTGTACTTGAATGTGGCCCTTGAATTGGTTATATTGCATTTAAAAGCTCATGATATGCGCCTAAGACTCCTATTATATTTTTCGGAGTTTCTGTATACAAGTGCAAAATTTGACATTAGGGTATCTAGCATTAAATGTGACAAAAGCAATTGGAAATTCTTCAGGAGTAGGTGAGCTTATTTGAGAATTCATGTTTGTCTCAGAAAGAGTAGTATAAAGGGTAAGATCAGAACGAGATGGAGACTGGTTGTGGGTTAGCTTTAGATATAAATGAAAAGCTTCCCAGTTTTTACTTTACTTGTGGTACCATTGGTCATGCAGATAGGTTATGTCCTCTAGATCTTGGGCAGTCAAGCTCAGAGAGAGGCAACCCCTATGACCCGTGACAAAGAGCAAATAGTGGACGTAATAATGACAATGGGAGTAACTAGTGGTTAGTATTTGATAAAGAAAGAAAGGAGGGATATAAAGTGACTTTGTATTTTGGCGACTCTTCTATTATAAATATATCTGTCAGACCACTTATTAGAGTACTTTTTGCCATTATTTTCACACAGAGGGCAATACTCGTAGCAACGATAACAGAATTTCTAGGCTTAGGTTGAAACTGGAGCTCCTGTACATGTTGGGTTGTTCTCTTTTGACTTCACGGTTAGCTCTGATCTGATGATTAATCTGACGGCGGCTCAGATCTGCAACTACTTTTTCTAATGGCTAAACTAGTTGAAAAGGTACTTTTGTAAGTTTTTTAGCAACTGTTAGTTTTTAGTGATTGAAAAGATTTTGAAAGAAAGCTGGTAGTTCTTTGATAAAAGCTGACTGTTTGATTAAGTTGTGTTTGGTATGCAAGTTATTCTGGCTAATTAATGCTAAAAACTACAGTCTTTTCTCAGATGTTACTCAGTCTAGCTTCTCCAAAAAGATCTTTTATCTTGAGAAAAACTTTTAAAATTGGCATGCCAAATAAATAACTAGAAAATTTTAGAGACCATTTAAATATTACGTACACAAGTAGTTTATTTGACGTGCAGTTACAATACCAATACGTTTCTCCCTAGCGGCTTCGCGTCGCGTGGGGTTTTGCCTCACTAACGGCTTTGCCATCGCGTAGAGTTTCCTTCCACCAATTGTTTGTGCGGTTCTTCTTCTCTAGGCTTCTAGAGTGTTTTTTAAAGAGGCGTGAGTGCGGCTGCAGCTTTTGGAATCGAATCCAAGGTTCAAGAAATGATAATCATGTCTTTTATGGATGATGAGGAGGAGGTCGAAGGGCTAGTTTTTGGCGAATCAACATGGGTAGATGGTGGTGGTCGTAGTGGAGGCAGAATAGGCGACGGGAAGACGGGGAGAGGTGGAGGGCTGAGCATGCAAGGGAGAAGACAGATCGGCGGTTCGACCCCTTTGGAGCGATCGAGGTGCTAGGGTTTGGAAGATTTATCAGTTACTCCCTCCGTCCCGCAAAATAGTTCCCGGTTTCCTTTTTGGGCCGTCCTAAAAAATAGTTCTCATTTCTTCTTTTGGAAAGTTTTGTGTGGTTTACATTCATTTACCTTTTCCTTACACAACCACAACCACACATTTCCACTTTATTCCCACTTTCTTAAACTCTGATCCAAGTCAATGAGGGAACTATTTTATGGGACGGAGGGAGTATTTAATTTTTTATGGTTATATTTTCGCATTATGTTTTATGTTGCTCTATTATTTGTTCATGTCTTTAGTTTTAGATCTACAATTGTGATTGATAGTTCTGCTAGATATTACATCCTTAGAAGGATCTATATGGCCAGTGATTGATGTGTCACACCCGCTTGGTGGTTAGCGATTCGTAGTGCTCTTTCAGGGGTGATCGTCTCTGAATCTAGCCGTGGGATTGATAGTGCTAGTTGGTAGGGATAGTTGTTGTCAGGGTTGGTCTTCTTGAATTTGTTATACGTAACGATCCGATTTATAATGATAATAATATAAGCGGTTTGTTTTTATGATAAAAAAATATGTACACAAGTTAGAAGGTAAAGATAATAATATTCTATTCCTACTAAACATGCAAGAAAGTATATAAGGGTGGAGTAAATAACATGGCCGGTCCTAGGGGAGGGCAGCAGGGGTGACCGCCCTAGGCCCGAAAAAAATTAGAAAGAAATTAGGCCCAAGTTTTTTCTTTATATGTAATATGAGTAGACTTTTTTCATATATAATTTCAATTAATTAATTAGACCTATTGTGTAATTTTTGTTGACAATTTCAGAATTTTAAAACATAAGTAAAAAGTCTTGAACAAAGCTAGACAAGTTTTTATAAAGAATATAAATTTAATTTTGATTTTTAAATAGAGTTGGTTGTAAGTCAACACATTTGTTGTTGAATCAATAAAAGCACGTCTCTTCACATCTTTTTGGCCTTTAAGATTTTTTATTCTTTTTAATTAAATAATTACCAATTTATATTATTGTCTTTGGGCTGCCGGTGCCTCCCAATTCTCAAACATCATCCCAATTATCTATTATGCCTCAAAAAACTTAATGGATTAGCAATTTTAAACATTGCACGTGTGATCTTGGAAAAGATTGGTGATAAAGCAATTATTTATGATTTTACTTCACAATGTTCTTTTGTGATACGTGTGTTGTTACTTTTGTCCAAATATGCAATTCA